GAATGACAACTGAGACTCTGTGGTGGTCATTCATTGCAGGGGTGGGAGAGCCAGAGGGAGGGCTTGTAGCTCAAGTGAGAAGACAAAGGCCAGAGAACTCCAAGGAACTCATTATTAATTAATGTACTTATTTAATTATTTATTTATGCTAAACCATTTTTAAATTTACACATACTAACTATATATATTAGTGAAGTACATAGTAATGTTGCCATATGATATGGTTTGGCTGTGTCCCCACCCAAATCTCATCTTGAATTCCCAAGTGTTGTGGAAGGAACACAGTGAGAGGTGATTGAATTATGGGGGTAGGTCTTTCCCACGCTGTTCTCATTATGGTGACTAAGTCTCACGAGATCTGATTGTTTTAAAAAGGGGAGTTTCCCTGCACAAGCTCTTCTCTTGTCTGCTGCCATGTGAGATGTGTCTTTTACCTTTTGCCATGATTGCGAGGCCTCCCCAGCCACGTGGAACTCTAAGTCCAATAAACCTCTTTCTTTCATAAGTTGCCCACTCTCAGGTATGTCCTTATCACCAGCGTGAAAACAGACTAATATACCATACATGTAATGCATAGTGATCAGAACAGGCTAATTAGCATATTTATCCTCACAAACATTTATTATTTCTTTGTGTTAGGAACATTCAATATCCTTGTAGCTGTTTATTCATTTACTCAACATGTTTCTGGAAGGCTTACTCTGTGTCAGGCAATTCTCTAGATGCTTGGTAAGTGCTGTCCAATAAAAATTTAATGCAAGCCACAAATGTACTTTCAAACTAACTTCCTCTCTCTCTGTCTGTCTTTCCTTCATTCTTTCTTTCTTTCTCTCCTTCTTTCTTTCTTCCTTGCTTGCTTGCTTGCAGGGTCTTGCTCTGTCACCCAGGCTGGAGTGCAGTGGTACAATCATGACAATCATGGCTTACTGCAGCATCAACCTCCTGGGCTCAAGATATCTTCCTGCCTTCATCTCCTGAGTACCTATCTTGTCTAGGGTGGTCTTGAACTCCCAGGCTCAAGCAACCCTCCCACATTGGCCTCTCAAAATCCTTGAATTAAAGATATGAGCCATAGTGCCCAGCTGTAATTTTAAACTTTCTGTAGCTATATTATAAAAATAAAACAGGTGAAATTAATTTTCATATTTTTATTTAATCCCACATATCCAAAACATTATCATTTCAGCATGTCATCAATATATAAAGTACCAATAAGATATTATATGCTCCCTTGTTTATACCAAGACTTTGAAGTCCAGTGTGTAGTTCATCTCAATTCCAGCATCACACTGAGTGCTCAGTAGTTACAGGAGCTAGTGGTGATTGTATCGGACAACACCGCTCCTGAGCATTTCCTAGTGGGAATGGTGTTGATGAGGGAGGCTGTTTGAGAGGCGGAATGGTAATGACGAGGGTGAGGAGCAGTGAAGGTACAGCGCTCAAATAATAGCTACCTAGGCTTGATGCCAGACAGCGGGACTTGGATAACAGTTGTTATGGCTAACATTTATGGGAGTGTTCATTAGGAGAGAGGCATTACTCTAAGCATGTTTTAGACATTAACTAATTTTAACCTACAACACATCTAATAGGTGTTGTTTTACACTTATTTTATTGCATGAAGAAACAGAGGCCTAGAAACTCTAAGCTGCTACAGACCATGTGGCAGCTGAGTGGTGTGCCAAGGAACCCAGTTTGCCTGATTCCATCATTGGGCATGTATTCACCATCATGTTTCCTGTGTCCCTTTGGGCAAGCCCGCCCATCTGAATCTGTTAACAGCCTGTGGTTGCTTTTAGCTCGCAGGGCTGTGGCGAGGGATACAATGAAACTTGTAAGTGGAATGAATTCTTTACTCTACCTCAACTAGAAAGCCAGGAATGGTCACATTCCTTTAATTCTTCCTATTTAGGTTAAAGCCACCCATAAGCAAATCGGCAGGAATCAAAGTCACATTTTTGTGGTCCTCCTTGTCCCTGGGACTTATAGAGTCTTAAAAAACCGTCTGCCTGGCCGAACGCAGTGGCTCACACTTTGGGAGGCTGAGGCAGGCAGATCACAAGGTCAGGAGTTCAAGACCAGTCTGACCAACATGGTGAAACCCCGTCTCTACTGAAGACACACAAAATTAGCAGGGCATGGTGGCACGCACCTATAATCCCAGCTACTCGGGAGGCTGAGGCAGGAGAACTGCTCGAACCCAGGAGGCGACAGTTGCAGTGAGCCAAGATCATGCCACCGTACTCCAGCCTGGGCAACAGGGCGAGACTCCATCTCAAAAAAAAAAAAACCTACTTGGCTCCATGACTACCTACCACTGTCCCTGTGTGCCATGCAGGGCCATGTGCGACAGGGGGCCTTTCTCAGCTAGAGCTGTCGGTTCACACTGAAGTTGACTGGAAGTAAAACCACAGGGCATCATCCTGCCACAGTAGGCCCTTCCAGCCACCCCAGAGCAAATCTTAAATGTTGAGCTTTTGAGCCACATTAACAAAAAAAGGCAAGGGGACATTTCACATAAAATCTGGCTCTATGGTTTCTCTAAAGAAAAAAATTTTTAAGACATGGTTTCATTCTGTCACCCAGACTGGTGTGCAGTGATGTGATCACAGCTCACTGCAGCCTCAACCTCTCAGGCTCAAGTGACCTTCCCACCTCAGGCTCCCAAGTAGCTGGGACTACAGGCACACACCACCGCACTGGCTATTTTTTTTTTTTGTATTAATATTTTTTGTAGAGACGGGGTTTTGCCATATTGCCCAGGCTGGTCTCAAACTCCGGGGCTCAAGTGATCCACCCGCCTTGGGCTTCCAAAGTGCTGGAACTTACAGGCATGAACCATCATGCCTGGCCTACAAAAAAAATTTTTTTTTTAATCTAATGACATGAAACGCATATTCCCACATGGCTACCAGTAGCCGGCACTAAGTAGCAGCTGTCTCTTCTAGAGGGGCACAAGCTAAACTTGGCCACAGTCCTCACCACACCCCACTGCATCCTGGGCACTAAAGCAGATTACAGTTTCTGACTGGGTGCAATGGCTCACATCTGTAATCCCAGTACTTTGGAGGCCAAGGCAGGTGGATCACTTCAGATCAGGAGTTCGAGACCAACCTGACCAACATGGTAAAACCCCATCTCTACTAAAAATACAAAAATGAGCCAAGCGTGGTAGTGCCTGCTTGTAATCCCAGCTACTAGGGAGGCCGAAGCACAAGAATCACTTGAGCCCGGGAGGTAGAGGTTGCAGTGAGACAAGCTTGTGCCACTGCACTCCAGCCTGGGTGACGGAGCGAGACTCCATCTCAAAAAATATATATATAGTTTCTGGCTATCATGACGTGTGTGCCATTGCTTTTCATTGTAGACACCTAGCTCTCTGTGTTATGTCTCCTGAAGTCACACTATACAGAGTCAGGCTGTGTATTTCCTTGAGGCCAGCAGCTTTACTCTACTTACCTGGCACCTTGAAAGACCTGCCCAGTGCTCGGCGTCCACTCCTTCAGCTCTACACACAGCCCTTCTCCTCTGAAGATCCACATTCCCAAAGGCATGGCGCCACAGCATGTCCCGGCACCCATCCTGCACATCCTGCAGCCTCTGTGCCTCTTTTCAGTTCTGAAGAGCCTTTGAAACCATAAATTTTCATTCTGTTCACCAACAATACAGTTTGAGCGTGTGAATCTGCTTTTAAGGAGGCAAATCTTAAAAATGCCCAGAGTCCATTTTACCTTTGCTAAGGCTTGGGGAAACATCAACCACACCTCATTGACAAGCTGTCTTCTTAAGGAGACCGTGAAGTGAAGTGGCTAAGTGTACAGATTTGGAAGCCAGATTATCTAAGTATAAATCTGGCTTCTACCACCCACTACTTGTGTAAACTTGGAAAAGTTGCTTGGTCTCCCCATGTGCTTCATTTTCCCAAATGGGAATGCTAGTGTATAGAGCTGACCCCTGAACAATATGAGTTTGAACTGTGTGGGTCCACTTCCATGCAGATTTTTTCAACCAACCAAACACAGTATTCACTAGATGTGAAACCTGCATATATAGAGGGCTACTTTTCGAATCTACAGGTTCCATTTCTGCAGGTTCCACATGGCCTACTGTGGGACTTGAGTACATGCCAATTTGGGTATACACAGAGGTCGGAGAACCAATCCCCTGCACATACCTAGAGACAGCTGTATAAGGTGTTTATGTCAGTATCCGGCACAGTTAGTGCTAGTTAAGTGATTGCTATTATTCTTATGAAAAGACAAACCAAGTTTTCAGCAGGTCATCTCACTGGCCCATAGTAGACAGAAAAATTACCTGCTTTCTCTCTTAGTACCATTGCTACAGAGTGTCAACTCCGGAACATAATTCTTAACTTAGAGAGTTTCTGATTTCACAGCAGGGACTAAGGGAACCTTGTCACTTTTCTACACCAGTAAATATTCATGATGATATGCTACCAGGAAATCAGGCCCAACGAAACAACCTCTGTTTACTCTGCCTGCTGTTCGACAAAGAAGGAGACGTGTCCCATAGAGTATAGCAGACATCTAGAACTTTTCACACATGAGGAGACCTCAGCCTCCTCCCTTGTGTGAGCACACTTCAAGTGGGCAGCCTGGCTCCAGGCCCATTTACACCCTGTGGCTCATGCTACAGCAGGAGATGGGGGTCTGGGCAAAGATATTCTCTCCATCCTCCCCCCAACTATAGAAGGTAAAAAGAGGGATTCTGCTCTGTAGAAGAAAATGCAAATGGCCCAAAGGATGGGATTGGTGCAGCAGGGGAGCAAGGCCAACTGGACACAGGGGAGGCTGCTTTGAGGTACTTGGGTGAGCAGGATGTAGACAGGGTTTTAGGCAGCCTGGAGACACGGAATGAACAGGAGGCCTGGGCCGCAGGTCCACCTGTGCTGCTGACCAGCTGAGTAGCCTTAGGCAAGGCCTTTACCCTGCTGATCTTCAGAATTCTCAAGGAGGGGACAGGATCAGACATTCTCCACAGTCTTTTCTAGCTATGATGCCCTTTGACCATTGCCTGCCTCATACTTTGGAGACCATTTTTGTGATAGATTCTGTTTGTCCCAGTGCTGTTAGAGACATACTGCAATCCTCCAAAGGAAGAATTCAGTGATGTCAGAGGCATATTGCAATCCTCCAAAGCACGAATTTGTCTATAACAAGATCTAGGTTCCTATATCAGATGCTGCTTAGAATCTCAGACCCAAACTGGGCTCAATAAAAGCTTTTTGATTCATAGTGATGGCTTCCATGCTGGGCATTCAAACTTATGCACTCATTCATCCATTCTTTCATTAACTGAGCAACATTTATGAAACACCTATCACACATAACATTGTGTTGGCTCTGGGGAGAACGAAGGAGACAACCCAGGAACATAAAATCCAGCAACTTGGCTCTGGAGAGGGGTATCAAGATGGCTGACTAGATGCATCTGGTACTTGCCCCTTCCATAGACAGGAACAAAAATAGTGAGTAGAAAATCACACCTTGAATAGATCATCTAAGAGAGAACACTGGAATTCAGCAGAGAAGTGATGGGAGGCACCAAAAGCAAAGAGAGAGAAGCGAGGCAGCCTGCTCAGCCAGGACTGGCAGGGAGCCTGGAGGCTCCTTAATGCAGGGAAAGAGTAAGCGAGAGGACTTCAATGGTCCATGTTCTCATCATGGCTTCTACAATCCTAGCCACTGGAGAGCCCCTAAACCCTCACAGGCCCTGAGACTAACATAGGGAGCTGCCTGGAGACCCCACAATGGCATTACTCCATGGAGGGAGCTCACATTGAGTCCCACAACCCCCTGCGTCCCAAGCAGCTGTAGCCTGGCACCATTTTAAGAGACCACCCCTCAACAGGCTGCATCCTGCCCTGGGGCCCCAAAGCCCTCCACCTTCACATCCTTCCTGGAGCCACACTGACATTCCCTAACTGTAGTAGCAGCCTCCAGGGCCGAGGCAGGAACCACTAACAGTGACCATCCCTCCAATAGAGGGGGTGCTGAAGACAAATTCTATTCGCCACAACCATCATTATGAATTGCTGTGGGCCAAGGCACGAGCAAAGTGCATGTCCCCCAGCCACCTGCCTATGGCTACTCCCACTGAAAGCAACCCAGTAGCAAGGCTATAGCACAGCCCCTGCTCCCTAGCCTAAGCATTTCCCTGGTGGCTTGGAGATCACCCTGCCTCTGCCCACCACAGCGAGTGCCTGCATGTGCTGCTGTGGGTCCTGAGAGCAAGACTACCTAGTCCAGCTCTGCCCTCCCCCAGTACCTGAGCATGCTATTTAGGAGACTTAGAATTGCTCAGCCTAGTCCACTACTGTTGGCACCTGAGCATTCCTCTCAGGGTCTGAGGTTAGGTCCACCCAACGTGCCACTACCACCACAGCTGGAACCCACCCCCATGTACCACCTGTAATGCAGGCCTGGGTACTGGCCAGCCCAGCCTGTCACAGCCAATGACAATATCAATTTGGACTGCTTGGGTCTCAAAAGGCTGTCCCACCACTGCTATTGCCATCATCCATACCACACCTGCTCCTCAGGGGCTCAAGAACTGCCAACCCACCTAGCCCACTGCTGCCATTCCTGACACCTGCACAAGCCACCTCAAGGCCCAAGAATTGACCTGCCTGAACCTGCTCACACTGGTGCCAGTGTATGACACTCTGGGACTCAAGGACAGGTATGCTTATCCCACTGCTGGTGCCACTGGGGCCTGAAGACTGGCCTACCAGGCATCCCAATCCCCAGCAAAATTTCACCACACCCTAAGCTGCCAAGGAAATCACAGTGCCACTAATGCTATTTATAGCTAAAGAAAATATACAGAGACTACACTACTGCATGCACACAAAATCAAAGGCAAAGTACCTTTCCCAATCAATACCATAGATACATCTTCAAGAAAAAGTCTTCCCCTACAAAAGCGAATTCAAAAAATGGGAAGAAGTGACTGTTATATCAGATGTGCAGATATCAATGTAAGGACACAGGAAATATGAAAAAGCAAGGAAATAAAAACACCTCCAAAATAATGCAGGAAGTCTTCAGTAATAGATCCCAATAAAAAAGAAATTTGTGAGAGCCCAGAAAATAATTTTTAAAATGCTGATATTAAAGAAGTTCAGGAAGATACAAAAGAACACTGAAAAATAATACAAAGAAATCAGAAAGACAATTCAGGCTATGAATAAGAAGTTTACCAAAGACAGATACCAAAAACAAAAAACTAAACAGAAATTCTAAACTGAAGAACCTATTGAATGAAATACAAAATGCATTTGAAAGCTCCAACAATAGACTAGGTCAGGCAGAAGAAAGGATCTCAGAACTTGAAGACAGGCTTTTGAAAAACCCAGACAAAAATAAAATAAAAAGAACAAAAGAATAAGCAAAGCCTACAATGATATGGGAACACCATAAAGCAACCAAGTTTTTAAATTTTTGATGTCCCAGAAGGCAAAGAGAGAATGAAAGGGCTAGAAACCCTACTTAATGAAATAATAGATAAAAATCTCCCCAAGTATAGCAGGAAATTTAGACATCCAGATACAGGAGACCCAGAGACACCCAAATAGAGACAATTCAAAAAGATCTTCTCCACGGCACATTATAGTTAAAATGTAAAACATCAAAGGCAAAGAGAGAATTATAAAAACAGCAAGAGAAAAGCACCTAGCCACTTGTAAAGGAAACCCTATCAGACTAACAGTGGATTTCTCAGCAGAAACCTTATAGGCCAGGAGAGAATGAAATACTATATTCAAAGTACTGAAAGGAAAAAAAAAAAAAACCTGTCATCCAAGAATACTATATCCAGCAAAGTTATCCTTCATAAACAAAAGAGAAATAAAGTATTTCACAGACAAGCAAAACCCAAGAGAATTCATCGTCACTAAATTGGCCCAAAAATAAATGCCTAGAGAGTCTTATACCCAGAAGTGAAAGAACATTATCTACCATTATGAAAATACACAAAAATATAAAAGCCACTGGTAGAGGAAACACAAAAACAAGGAAAAGACCAGACTCAAATGTTACCACTACAGAAAACCACCAATTCACAATGATAAACAATGAGAGAAAGAAAGAAAGGTGTAGAAAACTACACCTGTAGTTCCAGCACTTTGGGAGGCCAAGGTGGGCAGATCACCTAAGGTCAGGAGCTCAAGACCAGCCTGGCCAACATGGTGAAACCCTGTCTTTACTCAAAATACAAAAATTAGCTGGGGGCAGTGGCAGGTGCCTGAAGTCACAGCTACTAGTGAGGCTGATGCACAAGAATCCCTCGAATTCGGGAGGTGGAGATTGCAATGAGCCAATATCCAGTCTGGGTGACAGAGTGAGACCCTGTCTCAAAATAATAATAATAATAACAGAAAGAAAAAAAGACATGCAAAGCAATCAGAAATTAATCAATGAAATAAGAGGAATAAGCTTCACATATCAATAAAAACCTCGAATGTAAGTGGATTAAACTTTCACTTAAAAGATATAGGCTGGTGAATATATACAAAAAAATTTAAAAACACATAAGACATGGCCCAACTATATTCCACTTACAAGAAACTTGTCTCACCGTAAAGACACATATAGACTGAAAATAAAGGGATAGCAAAAGATACTCCATGCAAACGGAAACCAATGGCAAGCAGGAGTAGCTACCTTTACATAAAATAAACAGATTTTAAGTCAAAAATAGTAAAAAGAGAAGAAGGTCATTCTGTAATGATACAGGAATCAATTCAGCAAGAGGATATAACAATTCTAAATATATATGCACTCAACACTGGAGTATCCAGATATTTAAAGCAAACATTATTAGATCTAAAGGGAGAGATAGGCTCCAATACAATAATAATTGGGGACTTCATCTCTCAGCATTAGACAGATCATGCAGGCAGAAAATTAACAAAGAAATGTTGGATTTAAACTGTACATTAGACCAAATGAACCTAATAGATATTAACAGAACATTTTATCCAATAATACAGAATACATATTCTCTCATCAGCACATGGAACATTCTCTAGGATAGACCACATGTTAGGACACAAAACAAGTCTCAAAATTTTTTAAAAATTGAAATTATATCAAGTATCTTCTCAGACCACAATGGAATAAAACTAGAAATCAATAACAAGAGGACCTTTGGAAACTATACAAATACATGGAAATTAAAATACCTTATTCTGAATGACCACTGGGTTAAGAAAGAAATTTAAGGAGGAAATTAAAAACATTACTTGAAAAAAATGAAAATGGGAACATGATACACCAAAACCTATGGGATACAGAAAAAGCATTGCTAAGAGGGACATTAATAGCAACAAATGCTTAAATCAATAAAATAGAAAGATTTCAAGCAAACAATCTAACAATGCATCTCAAGGAACTGAAAAGGCAGGAACAAACCAAACAAAATTTGTTAAAGAAAAGAAACAAATAAGATCATAGCAGGGCTAAATGAAATAGAGACTAAAATAATACAAATATCAATGAAATGAAAAAAATTTTTTAAAGACAGATAAAATTGATAAACTACTTATTAACCAAGAAAAAAAGAGAAAAACCCAAATAAAATCAGAAATGAAAAATAAGACATTATTATTGACATCATAGAAATATAAAAGATCACCAGGAACTATTAGGAACAGTTGTTCATAATGTGCTAGAAACAAACTGGGAAACCTAGAGGAAACAGACACATTCCTGGACACATATAACCACTAAGATTGAATCAAGAAGAAACAGAAGGCCTGAACAGACCAATAACAAGTAATAAAATTGAGTTAGTAATAAAGTCTCCCAACAAAGAAAAGTACAGGACTAGATGGCTTTTCTACCAAATTCTACCAAACTTTCAAAGAAGAACTAACACCAATTCTCTTCAAATTCCAAAAGTTGAGGAGGAGGAAGTTCTTTCTAACTCATTCCATGAGGCCAACATTATTCTACTATTGAAACCAGATGAGGACACAACAAAAAAGGCTAATTTTCTTGATAAACATAGATGCAAAAGTCCTCGATGAAATATTAGCAAACCAAATCCAACAGCACACACATACACACACACATACGCACACATACACAGACACACACACACACACACACACAAAGCCATAAAACCCCACCATAAAAGTGGGATTTATCCCAGGAGTGCAAGGGATATACAACACAATAAACATAACACATTACATTGACAGAACGAAGGGAAAAACACATATGATATCTGGATAGACACAGAAAAAGCATTTGATGAAATCCAACATCGCTTCATGATAAAAAGTCTCAACAAACCAGGTATAAAAGGAACATACCTCAACATAATAAAGGCCATATATGACAAACCCACAGTTAGCATCACACTAAATGGGGAAATGCTGAAAGCCTCTGAGAATTTGAACAAGGATGCCTGCTTTCACCACTGCCATTCCTAGCCAGAGGAGCCAGGCAAGAGAATGAAATAAAAGGAATTTAAATAAATAATTAATTAATTAAAATGGTCCCTTTTCACTTTTGGTGTTATCTTATATCTAGAAACACCTAAAGACTCTGCAAAAAAAACAAAAAACCCACACAAATGTTTAGATATGATCAATAAATTCAGTAAAGTTGCAGGATACAAAATCAACATACAAAAATTATTAGCACTTCAATATGCCAATAATGAGTTAGCTGAGAAAGATATCAAGAAGACAATTACATTTAAATATCTACCAAAAAATACCGAAGAATAAATTTAGCCAAGGAGGTGAACGATCTCTACATGGAAAAATCACAAAAATACTGATGAAATAAATTGAAGACGACACAAACAAATGGAAAGATATCCCATGCTTATGGATCAGAAGAATATTTAAATGACAATTCTACCCAAAACAATGTAGATTCAATGCAATCCCTATCAAAATAGTAATACCATTTTTCACATAAACAGAAACACCATCTCTAAAATTAATATGGAACCAAAAAAGAGCCCAAATAACCAAAGCAATCCTGAACAAAAAAAGTTGAAGGCACCATACTATCTCACTTCAAAATATATTACAAGGTGGTAGTAACTAGACCAGCATGGTATTGGTATAAAAACAGAC